ATTAGGCGGGCCCGACGTCGAATCGCTTATCAGTCCATCCGCGTGAGCCAATGCTTCTTTTTACCTGCTGGCGATATTTAAACGCCGCTGACTGTTCTTGCACCAGTACCATCATGATGATTCTCGCAGTCTTGCTAACCGCTCTCCTCGGTTTCACCGCAGCAGCCTCCATCGTCGATTCAAGAGTCGATCATCTGGTTTCTAGACGCAGTTTGGCTAAACGCCAGAACGATGAAGGGAATTATAACATTACCATCTTCCATATAAACGACGTTCACGCGCATTTGGATCAGTTCTTGAAGAGCGGCACGGTGAGTACAGCTTTCTTGCGTTTATGATGAAAGATCGGACTAGAACCAAGTTTCAAGGACTGCACCGATCCAAAGAAAGGCTGCTTTGGTGGTTATGCGAGGTATACACTCTCGCCAACGGGGTTCGTGTATGCGCTTACATGTCTCTCTAGAGTAAAAGACATGGTAGACCACCTCCGCCCCCACCAAGAGAACAGTCTCTTCTTAAACATCGGTGACGAGTTTCAGGTACTCTCTACCCTCACGGTCCCATCCCAAGTAACACCAACCCACAGGGTACTCTCTTCTTCACATTCTACGGCGGCACCAAAATCGCAGAAACCATCAACCAGCTCGGCTTCGACGCCCTTGTCCCGGGGAACCACGAGTTCGACCGTGGCGACGACTACCTCGCCCAGTTCCTCCAAAACCTCACCTTTCCCGTCGTCTGCGCTAACATCCACACCAACAACACCGCGCTCAGCGAAGCCCTCGTCCCGTACCACATTTTTGAAAAACACAATCTCGCTGTTATCGGGCTCACTACTGCAACTACCCCGTCGATATCCAACCCCGGGGCGGGGACGACCTTTGATGACCCAATTGCGGTCGTGCAGAAGACGGTGGACGAGATCTACGCGACGACGAATGTGACGAGGGTTATTGCCATGACGCATATCGGGTATGAAGTGGATATGGAGATGGCGCAGAAGACGAGGGGACTTTATATGATCGTCGGGGGGCACAGTCATACCCTGCTCGGCGACATGGAGGGCGCGGCGGGGAAGTATCCGACGATTATGCGGAATTTGGATGGAGAGGAGGTTTTTGTTGTGACGTCGTATGTTTTCTCTCTTCCTTGAAGCTGGCTAGTGGGTTGACGAGAGTTTGGACAGCTACAAATGGGGCGAATACCTCGGCTTGATTGATGTGGTATTTGATTCTGAGGGAAGGATTGTGGAATATGTGGGTGCTCCGATTCATTTGGACAACCACACGGCGCAGGACAGCGAGCTTCAAGCTTCGATCGAGGAGTGGAGGGAACCGTTCGAGGCGTATGCTGCGGAGGTGGTTGCATTCAGTGTTGATACACTCGACCAGACGACCTGCCAGGAGATGGAATGCACCCTCGGCGACTTGGTCGCTGACGCTACCTATGCGTATCGCGTCAACATTAGCGAGGGTGCTGCAGGGTGTCTTCTCAACGCCGGGGGTAAATTGACCGTTCCAAGTCATATAATATCTACTGATACCTGATATCCGCAGGAATCCGAGCGACAATCGACGCAGGCAACATCACCCGCGGCGAAGTCTTGACCAGCTTCCCGTTCGGCAATGCCGTCACCGACGTAGTCTTCACCGGCGCCGACCTCTGGAAGATCTTTGAAGGGATCGTGTCCAGGGTGAACCAGTGGAATCAAGAGGAAGTGACGTCTTTCGTACAAGTGTCATCTCAGATCCGGTTCACGTACAATCCCCACAACACCATCGGCTCTCGTCTGATTAGCCTGACGATTGGCGAGGCGACGGTGACGAGCACGGATGTCAGGGAGTACACTATCGTTACTTGGTGCGGCGCACTTTGCACTGTAATTGGGCGCGGGAGCTAACGAGACAAATCTGCAAGGGATTTTGTTGTCACTGGCGGCGACAACTTCTGGCCGAAACGGACTGTCGGGGCGACGCTGGACTCGCAGGATGAGGCGCTCATCCAGTATCTGCAGTCGGTGGGGACTGTAAACGTCACGCTCGACGGACGGATCGCCACTACGGATGTGGTGAGCCCGACCAATGAAGAAGGTGTCGGTGCGAGGATGCTCCCCATGGTGAAGACCTGGAGCTAGAAACACCGTTATCTTAGTAGTGACTTGTGGTCACGCCACTCACTGATCATTAATATCACTAAATGAACTTTATGCCTGCGATGGGCACGTAAAATTCAGCAATTACACCTAGTTTAAGATAAAAACTATACGAAAGATCTCGAGCGACAAAGGAGTACTGTAAATGCTCGAAAATGTATCCTCTTTGGCCGACATGCGTTATCAAGGAGGCATGGACATCGGTAACCATGGTGAGACGCCGCTTCCTTGGCTCAGTTGGCTAGAGCGCCAGTCTCATACTTATGAGTGAGCCTTGCTCATGTAATCTGGAGGTCGCAAGTTCGAGCCTTGCAGGGAGCATGCAGTGTAGCACAAGTCTTTTACCAGGAATCTTCAGCCCCGGGGCAGTTTTTTTTACCAATTTGGATAGGGCAATGGGCGCCGGGCGTAGGGTGGCGCAGTAAACCTCCGGGGGGTGTTAGTAACGGTATTGATACCGACCCCCCAGGAGGCCCTGGTTTTGAAACCGTTAGTAACGGTTTCGATACCGGCACGTGCTTTTACCACGTGATGTGGCGCATCGCTCCGCCGCCCTCCGCCTGCCCATATCCTGCCCCTTTCTGCTTTAGGGTGGCGGAAAAAAGTCCCCCGGACCTTTTTTACCTGTAAGTTACATGAGCCATCGGCAGGACTCGGTAATTTACGGGGTAATTTACTGCACGTGATAGTCACGTGATGCATTTTGCCCGCCAAATCTGCACAAAATTTTCTGTCCCTCCGGGGGTGCGCCACACAAGGGATGAAATATATAAGATACATGTCTGTGTGGATAAGCTACAACTACCAGACCTCATATGCTCAGTCCAAGCATGCAGATGCAAAGAGCAGCTCACTGTCCCCTCCCCGCCACGGCGGGACCAACACGTGACCCAATTTGCTCCTAAATCGGGCTGGTAATTTACCTTGTAAATTACATGCACGTGACGCGTAAATTACGTGTAAAAAAGGTTTCAGTAAAAAACCACCCATTTCTTCCGCCACCCTAGGCACTATCGTCATGTCGAGGCAGCACAGCCACACGACCGATTTGACCAATTTTTCCCGAGTGACCGGAAAATTGGTCATTTCGAGGCACCCGTGATGGCCTCTGGTGCTATTTTTGAACCGAGGCAGATCCAAATCCGGATGCCAAACCTACCGAGGCAAAATAAATTTTGGGATCACCGCCTCCTCGTACAGTTCATTACCCAGATGGAGATTGATCCCTCATGCTGATGTCGCGCCAGTGTTGCGCCGCTAAGAATGCCGGAGTATGTCAATGCCATGCTTGCGGAGTACGGGTTGCGAGTCCAACCTCATAAGTATGCGGGGTGCGCGGTCAGACGCATTGTTTTGAGTCATGTTGACTTACCGTTCTAGATAAAGTAAACTAGAAGACCGTGTCTCAATGAGTAGTAGTACATTGTCCGACACACAGACCTGCAAACTGTCTACGGAATGTTGAGTCCAGTCGTAAGTCAGCTGTCTCGCCATCGCCGTCCTGAGATTCGTACAACGTGCGGCAGACGTGATGATCAGCCATGACGACCAGCCGAGAGCCGTAAAGACGGTGATGTACAAGCTCTAACCCGCCTACCAGAACAATGGACTAATGACAGATAAACACCCATCTAAAGGACAAAATTCAGTTTTGCAAGAATACTCAAAATTCAAAACTCTCACCAGGGCAATAACTACGGGCTCTACAGCCTTCATACATCGTACACGGCGTGTCTGGGGCTATATCCTCTGAGACACAAGACAATCCTTGAAGTCAGTGGCATAGTCTTGCCGTCCCGACACATGTTGAGCCCGAGGGACATTGGGTATCGGGCGGGCGTGTGTGATCAATCAAGTTGAAACGATAGTTGATTCAAGGCCTGGTACGCTGTGGAAATACATCTATACGTCCTGATGGACTTATACGGAGCCTCTCGCATAGTATCATCTTCCCGCTGCCCAGTCATCCTGCCCAAACTCGATGTCATACGTTCCCGGTGACAAAGATAAGGGCTTGAGAGCAGCAGGAGCTCTATCCCAGCAAGTACATGCAAGAACTCTTGGGGTGAATCCGGTGCAGAAGTTCTGAAGAAGGATCAGATAAGAACGGTCGAAAGATTTACCCAACAAATCTACCTGAGAGCGTTAGGCGGCTCCAACCGGTCATATATATAGAAATGCGCGAACTGCCCGTGTTCAGACGACATCATCCCGACATTCCGCCTCCCGTCCGGCCACAAGTGAAGTTGTGTCCAGGGGGGCCAATTCAGAATGTCGCGGCCGTGATAATGGCGGGAGATCACATAGAGCGTAAAGTGTAGGAGAAGATGAGATGGGAATGTCCAACTACTACGAACACTAAAGCCAGACAGCCCGCAGATGCAAACGGGATTGACAGCGGAGTCGGTACTCCACGACGGAACAAGTGAGGGAGATGGAGGAGATTAATGGGCAGACATGACTGCTTTCTGCCGATAGCAATCAGTAAAAAGATAACCAGAGAAGCCAAAAGGACACACGAGGGATGCAGCATACTAAGTTAAGCCATCTTCGACGGGTGGACGGCGGCGGCTGATGTCTGATGGCGCAGGTGGCGAGAGGACGAATGGCGCGACAGGTAGATTATTGACGACGCCGAGGGGGCGACTGATGAATCCTCCATAAGACGTGTAGGCAATGAGTAGTGGACGTCGCGTGGATGAATGGAAGCTGTCAATAGCGTTTACTAAGAAAAGTAAAAGTAATAGAAGTAAAAAATCTCACAGAGAGCTGGGCATGATGACAGCATGTGCACATAGTAGATCCAATACGAGCAAGGTGCAGCTGTACAGACGGTAATCGGCGGAAACATCAGCGCGGTCGATGAGCGGGACCGCGGTTGATGAGCGGCGCTCCAAGCAGACATCAAGCAGACATCATGGAGGATAACAGAAAGAGGCGCGGGAAGATTTCGACGAGTCGAAATCTTCCCGTGATGAGCACGCAGACGACGCAGTCGCGTTGAGCTGAGAGTCAGGTGAGAGTTGAGGGTAAACGCGCGCGTCGTGATTTGATGTTGTTTACCAAGTCCAATAGATCATCGATCAGTGCTTATCGCTCTTCTTCCTCCCACTCCCACAGCACACAGCGGCGAGGCCGTGTCATCCAGCCCCAGATCTCTGTCTGACGCCTTTTTTTCTTTTTCTCTGTTACCCAGATTGCCTCTCTAACGCGTAAGCCGTCAATTTGAGACGCAGCTACGCGTAAGCCCGCAGAAATGGGGCACCCAAGCTCAAGCTGTCCGAGACGCTGAGCCCAGCATAGACCCTCCAACGAGGTTGCGATACGGATATTCCTCGACGACGCCGCTGAGTCAGGCAATGCGACAGATGCCGGAGATGGCACGGAAGGTGGCGGGTTCGGTTGGGTAGCAGATTTTACGCGAAGACACGCGACTTCCTGTGTGGAGAGGGATGAGCATGGGCTGGACGCCGACATTCGTGCCCAGCATCCAGTAGGAGTCCACCCTTCACTTTGTCCTTCGTCTGCGCGATGGTATGCAGATCTTCGTGGAGACCCTCATGCGCAAGTCACTCTCGAGGTCGAGTCGCAGATACAGGACAAAGAGGGTATCCCACCAGACCAGCAGCACCCTATTTTCACCGGAAAGCAGCTCGAGGATTGGACTACAACATCCAGAAGGAGTCCACTCTTCATCTCAGTGAGTTGCTTCGGACGGCTTTAGTTCATACACTGATGCCATCTCACCCTCACTCGCGCTCATCGGCGTGCTTGCGCGCGCGCGAAGCGCTTCGCCTAAACGTGCCCAAGGACAACGACTTTCCTCCTTCTCCAATTTCCGTTTCCATTTCTCCTTCTCCCGAACCCCTTATTGGCAGAATCGACGTCCATCAGTTTCATCGGTGCGCAGTGTTGCAACCTTGCCACTTCCTTCCTCCCCTCTTGTATCGATTTCGTCGCCGGTATGTGAAATGCTCTCTTGAGCATTTCGCGCCGCGCCGATATCTGAACCGACGCTCCAACAAGCACCGTGCCCTGCTCGGGGTCTCTCTGCGTTTATTCCACTATAAAGTATATACATATTGATGACATAGACCTGGACGCGAGCATGCGCCACAATTTGCCGCGCCTGCGCTCACCAGGCAGTAAGATTTTTGAGGGACTTTAAAAAAAAATAACAAAAAAAATAGGGGGGAATCGAACCCCCGCTCGGGCGAGGTGACCGACCATCCGAGTCACGTGCCTCAAATTGGTCGCTTCGGAGAAAATCGGTCTTCAAATCGGTCACTCGGCACTATCGTCATGTCGAGGCAGCACAGCCACACGACCGATTTGACCAATTTTTCCCGAGTGACCGATTTGAAGACCGATTTTCTCCGAAGCGACCAATTTGAGGCACGTGACTCGGATGGTCGGTCACCTCGCCCGAGCGGGGGTTCGATTCCCCCCTATTTTTTTTGTTATTTTTTTTTAAAGTCCCTCAAAAATCTTACTGCCTGGTGAGCGCAGGCGCGGCAAATTGTGGCGCATGCTCGCGTCCAGGTCTATGTCATCAATATGTATATACTTTATAGTGGAATAAACGCAGAGAGACCCCGAGCAGGGCACGGTGCTTGTTGGAGCGTCGGTTCAGATATCGGCGCGGCGCGAAATGCTCAAGAGAGCATTTCACATACCGGCGACGAAATCGATACAAGAGGGGAGGAAGGAAGTGGCAAGGTTGCAACACTGCGCACCGATGAAACTGATGGACGTCGATTCTGCCAATAAGGGGTTCGGGAGAAGGAGAAATGGAAACGGAAATTGGAGAAGGAGGAAAGTCGTTGTCCTTGGGCACGTTTAGGCGAAGCGCTTCGCGCGCGCGCAAGCACGCCGATGAGCGCGAGTGAGGGTGAGATGGCATCAGTGTATGAACTAAAGCCGTCCGAAGCAACTCACTGAGATGAAGAGTGGACTCCTTCTGGATGTTGTAGTCCAATCCTCGAGCTGCTTTCCGGTGAAAATAGGGTGCTGCTGGTCTGGTGGGATACCCTCTTTGTCCTGTATCTGCGACTCGACCTCGAGAGTGACTTGCGCATGAGGGTCTCCACGAAGATCTGCATACCATCGCGCAGACGAAGGACAAAGTGAAGGGTGGACTCCTACTGGATGCTGGGCACGAATGTCGGCGTCCAGCCCATGCTCATCCCTCTCCACACAGGAAGTCGCGTGTCTTCGCGTAAAATCTGCTACCCAACCGAACCCGCCACCTTCCGTGCCATCTCCGGCATCTGTCGCATTGCCTGACTCAGCGGCGTCGTCGAGGAATATCCGTATCGCAA